CGCTATGTGGATCGCCGATTGATTATCACAGTATAAGGAGACAGGCCGACTACATTCAACACGCAAGTCCTGAAGGACGAAACCTGTTCTCGTGGAACCTTTCCGACGTTTGCTTGGCAAGATGGGTATACATTGCATCTATACTCCATCTTGAGGGGGAGTGTTACAGGTTGTTATGGTTGTTCTATCTATACAGATTTTATTCTTATCACTTATAACTGATGTATAGGAAAGTTTGTTTATTTCTTCCTGTATATAAGTTCTTTACCGATCGCATATATGAATACAAGGAAAACTTTTCCACTTTGACTTTCTCTAAACACAGACTCCTCTGTTTCTCCCTGTTTTGGTCGTCCGTAACAGAGCACTACCATTGCTCCTGTTATTAGTGTTGTTATCAGAAAAACCAGGTGTCAGAAAGCACGTGAGATAGGTCTAAAGATCATAGAAGAAGAACATGCTGAACAATTTGCGAGATGTACGACTATTCAAGATGCAATATAGGTCGACATGTCGTCTTCCATCCGTCTTTCAAAGCATTAAAGCAGATATAGAATTTTTGAAATACATCATTTTGAGTCCCTAAAATGACGCGACATGTCGACCTATATTGCATCTTGATGGAACGTTTCTTAGAGGATAGATGAAAGGTGAATTATTAACAGCAGTTGGAAGAGACGCGGATGACTAAATCTATCTCGTTGCTTGGGCGATTGTTGATGTTGAGAACAAAATTAATTGGGAATGGTTTTTGACACTTTTGGTGGATGATTTGAATTTAGGAGTTGGACAAGACTTTACAATGGTTTCAGATCAACAAAAAGGACTTATTCACACTATGAAAAATGTATTGCCATATGCGGAGCATAGGATGTGCACTAAACACATCTATGAAAATTGGAAGAAGAAACACAAAGGTTCTGAAAATAAGATATTTTTTTGGAAGGCGACTAAAGCATATAATCAAGTCATGTTTGATAAATGGCTCAAGGATTTAAAGATTTTATCACCAACAGCATATCTTCCTAATGCATTATTCTATATTTCATTGGTCGATGTATATTTCTATTATTCATCTATATTTAAATTGTCTTTTTATATCTCGATTTTTTTCTATGTTGGTTTAATTTGTTATCATTTGTGTAGGTGTTCTTTCACAGAATTTGCAAAGTGTGATGCAGTCGAAAATAACATGGGAGAGACATTCAATTCTACAATTAAAGATGTCCATGAAAAGCCAATTGTAGAAATGCTAGAAACTATCCGGAGGCAAGTGATAACAAGTAATTTGGCTAAGATGCAAGTTAGCCAAAGTTGGCTTGAGAGAATAACACCAAGAGCTAAAAGTCTTGTCAACAAACAAAAACAACGTGCTATCAAATGCATATCGTGTGGCTGTGGAGGAGGGCGTTATGAAGTTGATCATAAATAGAAAAGTTTCGAGTTAACATTAGAGGAGATGTTTCATGTAGCTGTCGAGCATATGAGATCAGTGGGATTTCTTGTTGCCATATCATTTCTGCATTATGGGATGATACGATGGGAAATGGGCAACCCGAAGATTTGGTTTCAGATTCGTTTACTACTGATCATTGGAAAATATGTTATCAGAGTTTGATGCAACCGATTAACGGAATAAATTTATGGCCGTGCTCAAACATAAAAGTGGAAGCATCTTTAGAAAGGAAAATGCCTGGGAGACCTAAAAAGAAGAAAAGAATGCGCGATCCGTATGAAACCTCAGAAAGCTCTTTATCGCATCATGAGAGAGTTATGGTAAGATCTATAAACTGTTATTCATCCTTTTTATTTTTTTATTAACATATATAATTTGTATTATATAGAGATGTAGTCGTTGCCAACAATTTGGACACAACATATGAATTTGTCAGGCGACAAATACTAACTTACCTTTACGAAACGAGAAAAGGCCAGTCGGACGTCCACGAAAGAATCAGATATTTTATCTATTCTTCTAATGAATTTCTACTGTTAATTTTAAAAATTCAGTTATATAAATTAAATGTGATTTAGGTTGAGAAGACTAATACCTACAATCACATGGAAATGAACATGAGGAAACAAATTTAATAAGTCTGAATCATTCGGGTTGTGATGATATTTCGGCGACAATTTCAAACACTATATTTGGGTAAGGTGAATTATATTTTTGTTTTATTTGTATTAGTAAGACTTTGGTAATACTTTTTTAAAACTTATTTAATGAAAAATTAATGTTTTTTTTGGTAAATATAAAAAATTAATGTTGTTTGTAGAGAGACAATTGGAGATGATATATGTTTGGATCAACGGGTGATTGGTGGCATGAGAGATAATACCGTTCTTTCTTCAACTTTGTTCAAAGAATGTGAATGCACCAAATTCAAAGTCTCACGAAGAAAAATCTAAATTGAAAATTAGTCATATTTACGTAGTATTCTGTGTTATTGAATCTTTTAAAACTATGTTTTTTTCGTTTTCTATTCCAACTTCATTGAATATACTAGGCGAGACCCGCGCATCACGCGGGTGTTTTTTTTATTTTATTATAAAGATTTTATATATAGATTTAGTAAAAAAATATATATATTATTTGTTTGATTTAGAGGAAGTATTATCATAATATTAAATTGTTGTAAAATATGTATTTAAATAAGTAAAAAAGTGAGAAAATATGAATAGCATTATGTAAAAGATTTATAAGATCGATATGAATTATATATTATGGATGTCCTATTGTTGATTTGTTTTTTTAATCTTTATAAATATATGTATGTGTACATATATATATTTATGTATATATATGTATTTATATTTTTGTACTTTTATTTGTTATGAATATATCTATATGTATATATATATTATATCTTTATTTTTTAATGGAGTATAAGTCTTTTGTTAATTTGATTTGTTCTCTTGACCTCATGTATTTATTTTTATAATTTCGTTTCTACTTTTAAAACTCTTTGATAAATATCTCATCTTTACGCCATCGATTTGAAGCAGAATACGAAGAAAACCACCCTTGAAATATTATAAATTTAATTTTTTAATGTAAATTTTTTTCTCGCTTCGATTGTAATTCCACAACTGATATAAAGGTTTTCAGTTTAACTTCACAGTACGTAGAGTTTTGTTCACCCTAGTCGGTCCAGTTTCGTATTTCGTTTAGCTTATCTTTATCGTCGAGGGATTTAAATTTAAATAAAAAATATAGTTTTTTTCATGCACAAAAAATAAATAAATAAATGTGAAGTTTAGACTTGCAGACGTGTTTTTTCTCATAACAACAGGTGAACCTAAAATGATAATTACCAATTATAAATCAACGGAAATTTGAACAATATCAATAACACCACCTTAAAAAAAGTAGAAATGATCAAACATTGTTCCGAGAAGTTAAAGACACGTTTATGGAGAATCACTGTCACAATTTTCATAATTCAAAACCATATTTTGAACCAGTAAGGTTGTTCCTCCATTGCTTTTGTTTTCCACCAATTGTACGGATCTTGTGGATCGAATCTCAAAAGATACATGACAAAACCAAATACCAACTTAGATTTTACTAAGAAAAAACAAAGATAGAGTAGAATCGGTGGAGACAGAGTTGACATAACCGGAGAGATGTTGAAGAGTCGACGGACCTTAGATTTGTTGGAGAGACTATTAGGGCTTATGCCACGATTAAATGACTTCAACACATCAAATGACTTCACAAACAGAAACCATACATGGAGAAGCGTATGAACATTGAAACATATCGATAAATACATCCATCTCATACAAACGCAAAACTTGATAAATTATATACATTTAAAAAATTTCGTAATTATATACAAAATCTTAAACTATTAGATTTCTTTACAGTAAGTTTTTTATTTTTTAGATCTCCACTTTACATTAGCAAATCATAAGGTGTCTTATACTTATTTAATATATGTTAAGGTTTTTTCTGTCCTTTTTTACAAACACATGTTTAGTTATGAATTGGGTTAATATATGGAATACAATTAAACTCATCGATTCATTGATTCATTTTGTTATTAGATCTGTACCATCTTCCATAGATTTCTCTCACTTCATTTTTTCTTCTCATATTTGTGAATTCTTCCACTTCTATATTCATCCATGTTTCTGATTATCAAACCAAATTTTCAGATTTCCATGAATTAAGATCCTACGCCATCGACCGATTCAGAACATTTTCTCAAATCCATTCTCTTCTTCGTCTCTCTCTTCTTCCGCAATCTCTCACCGACCTCTCCCCTCAGTCGTACCGGTCTCTTTCTCCTCCTTGCTCTTCGTGTTTTCCTCAGAGTTTTCTTACCCTGGGTAGAAACCCCTTATTCCCATTTTCTCGGAGATAGTTTTAAGAAAGATTAGATTATATATTTTAATGTTGACTTTAATTCTTTATATTTTGTTTATAGATAATGATGTGTGGAATGATAGAATACTTGTTTCATAAAAATTATTAGTAAGTTTAATATAATACAAATATTATTTAATATATTGAATCTATAAAATATCTATAGATTTATATGTATTTTAATAAATAGAATTTTTTTTTGTTTTTTGCATTTGGAAACTCAAAAAACCTCTTTCATTATTGTTTAAGTGAAAAAATACTATTCAAACTACTCAATCGCATATTGTCTTAAATTTGGATAATTGTTTTTGGATTTTTTTCGATTTTATGTCATATATATTTAGATCATCAACTTTCAAAAAAACTTTCATATAGATATACGGATTTCAAAATTTTTACAATTTATTTTTCTAAAACTTACCATAAGCATACATCCTCTTTAACTCCGTTAATTATTAAACGAATTTAATGATATATCATTGTTATGTGGGTTAAAAATACCGTATCATCATTATCATGTAAATTTAATAAACAAAAGATAAATATAATAATTTTTATGTTCATACAAAATAAAATAATAAAATATAAAATAAATATATACGTATATATATATATATATATATTGAGATTTTTTTACATAAAAAAAAAACAAGATTACTATGTATTACAGTACTAGTAGTACTTATTTGGACATGTAAAGAATCTGATGGGACAACAACAGGGCTTTATCTATCTGGATATGTCTCGTCCGAAGAGGCCGGCTATTCCCTTCTTGGGGTCGTTCTGCTTCACGATGGATTCACCAACCAAAACCTACACGAACCAACCACATTCACGTAGCAAGATTCAAGATTCAAGATCCAAGAATTCAAGAATTCAAGATTCAAGATCGAGCAGCCTATGGATGTCTGAAGCTTACCGCTCTAACACCGGCTTCTTGTACAAAGGCGATGTCTTCGGGTGTGAAGAGACCGGATTCTCCGACCACCTTTTAAGTGAATCAATATGATATCGTTAAGAACGGGTAATAAACCGAAGGGTTTGATTGTTTTTAAGGATGAGAACGAGAATGAGGGATGCAATGTAACTTACGATCATGTCTCTCTCTCGGATGACTCGACCATGCTCTCCTTCGAGAAGCTTCTTCGTGTTGCTTATGTCAACTTCGAACGTTCCTGTAACAACAACATAAACAAGATTGGTCCGAACTCTTTCCGACCAAAAAAATAACGGGAGATATTAGAGCAAACCCGGGTTTTTTTTACCGAGATTTCGGTTATTGATGCCAACAAGCTCGATCCCCTCGATTCCAAGAGCACGACCCATCTCTCTCTCGTCATGCACCTAAGGGTCGAACACGAAAATGAAAAAGGGTCCAGCAAAAACTTTCAACGCTCGATTATCTGATGAAGAGGAAGATACAGACCTCGACCAGTGCAGCGAGACCGAGCCTATTGCAGAGCTTAAGCATGTAAGTAATCTCTAGATCAGTCAACACAGTAGCGAGAAGCAATACCGCATCGGCACCCTTTAGCCCGAGCATAGTACATTTGGAATGGGTCTACGACGAAGGGGCACTGCAAAAGTAAGAGAATAAAAGATTATACACATTTCATTACAGAAAGTTATCATCACTGTCTGAAGTACCCAATGGGGGGTTTCAAATTAAGTATAGACCTTTACACCGGCACTCCTTATTGCTTCCAATTTTTCGAGGCCTCCCTGAAGAAGAACCGAATCAAGACAGAACAGAACTCTTGCTGTCAGCAAAGCTCAAAATCGGAGACATGATATTAACATAACATAAGTTACCTTGAAGAACTTCTCGTCTGTTAGAACGCTGACACATGCAGCTCCACCGTTTTCATAAGCTTGAGCAATTCCCACCTGTAAAATTTCAGAGGGGCTTTAGACATCCAACCACTGTGATCATGGCAGAATTGCGAGTTTTTATTATTGAATCAGAGAAAAAAAAAATAAAAGAAAGAGATTGCAGTTCATGTATCATAACTCACTGGACCAAAGTTCTCTCTAAGGATTCCTCTGCTCGGAGAAGCCTTCTTGACTTCGGCGATCAAACCAGGGAGTCAGGTTCTTGCGTGGGCTGCTCTAAGCGCCCCGAAGAAATCCTTCGCATTCGACAACGAATAATAATCGGAGGAAATTCATCGAAAAAGATAAGGAAAAAGAGAATTCAATGAGACCTCGCGGGCTATGCATGGTCTTTCGTTTTCCTCTTGTGTTGCATACACCATCTCTCTCACACGCCGAACTTACGTCGGAAAATATTACATCAAGTCATGTCGGGACATGGAAGAAACACTCGTCCGAAACACCACCGACAAACAGATAGCTTCTCCGATGGCAGCCGCCGGAATCTTCCACGGCTGCATGGTTAACGGATGCGACGACTCGATCCTGTCGCGTTCTCTCCTCACAAGAAATCCGATCGCGATGCCGACATTAACCTCTCCCTCCCCGTTAAGACGCCGAAGATTCGGCGGACATTGGAGTTGTCGGAGAGAGTATCAGGGATCGATCAGGGCACGACTGGGAAGTAAAATGTCTGTGAATTTTTAAAGGATATTTAATTCTATGAAATTTTTTTTATGGTGTTGTTTTTCTAGGAAGAACAAATTATAGAAGTCAGCGAAACGATCCAACGTCCCAACAATAAAATAACAGTCAATAAATGTATTCGAACGTGACATGACCAGTTTTTTTTTGAATTTTTTACCCTACTAAATATTAACTACCTAGAATTAAATATATTAAAAAGTTATATTAACTACACAGATCAACCATTGATTAGTTTCAATGTGTCTGTTACATATTTTGTAATAAAGCAAAATAAATTTTGAAACTTATGTACGATGGAAAATATCAACAGTTTTGAAGGACCGGTATTAACACTAAGTAAAACATATGTTTCTCAATAAAATTCTATAACCAAAATTTTTATGTAATGTTTTATTTTATTATTTTTATGAAGATAACAAATAAATTTAAAATATAATATATAAAACTAATGATAAATTACATTCTAGATTTTTATATTATGGTTTATTTTGTTATTTTTATTAAGATAAAATCAGCAAGATCAATTTTTAAATTAAACATAATTAATAATATTTCAATACTATATATAATATAAATGAGTTTATTATGAGATTTTTAATTTTAATTATTTATTTAAAGTTGATGTACCTAATGAGGATTTATAAACCAATCAAAATTTAAAAAATTGACATGTAGAATGCTTAGGTGTCTTCGCCACAATCCTTTAAACTCCTTTATTAATATATATAGATTCTATATAAATACCTGAATTATAAAATTTCTATATCAATATCTGAACTTTTAAAAATCTTATATATAATATCTAGACTTTTAAAAATTTTCTTAAATAAATATAAATTTCAGGTATTTTTTAAATAAAAATAGGTGATGTTATTAACAGATTTCAGTTTTATTTGGGAGTTTTTCAAAAGTCTAGATATTTATATAGAATTTTAGAAAAATCCAGATATTTATATAGAAATTTTATACTTCAGATATTTATCTGATATTTTTGTAAAGATTTTCTTTAAATAAAAAATATATACATAAGTATATATATTATAATATTCATATTACATTCTGTGTACCTTTTAAATCCTTGACACTTGCTATTACCAGAACCGTTCATTAATCGTTAATATCAAGATGAAATACCCTCTTCCTCTTAACTGTTTTTTCATATCACTGCACACAAATATATACAAATGCACGTGTAGCCATTAGTTATATGAATAAGCAAAATCGAGACTTAAAGAACATTAATCAATAAATATATAAAATAAAATCAAAAGTATAACTTAATTCATAAAGTAAATACAAGGGAAAATCCCCAAAAAAATAGTGACCACTTCAATTATTTTAACGAACCAAATAAAAATTATTATTGTTATAAAGAAGCACGAGAAGAGACTTTGATGTTTCAGCGTTCCTCTTCACATTGTTGAAACCGATGAGATCAAGTATTCAGATTTTTAACGAGCAAAAGAAGATAAATGAAAAACAAAAACACAATTTAAACTGTGGTTAAAAAATCGATCCTAACGGATATATTTTCGAATTTCAAATTCATAATTTAGTTACATAAAGAAAATTTAATCACCCAAGTACGGGTCTATAATTTCTAATTTCACCGCATGCATTTATTACAAAAACATCAAAATTCAATGCAAAATATTCATAAAAAATGATGTAGCTCCTCTCATATATGCCACATATTCCTAATAAGTAATTCAAGTTTATTTTCATTTATAGCATATTCCACGTCCAGCTTATATAGTATGTCTCCTATTTCTCCATATGTAAATTATTCATGCACTAACTTTTTTGGGAAATATTGTCTGTCTAGATAACAAGAACCTATGATGCTGGATAAGTACGAATATATTTTCCTTATGCGAATTGGATACATAACATTTTTTTTTACAACAATTAGATACACATAAATATCGATTATTAATTACATAAACATCCAAAGAGAGTAAAAGGAAATCCTTTTACTCTCTTTGGATGTTTATGTAATTAATAATCGATATTTATGTGTATCTAATTGTTGTAAAAAAAATGTTATGTATCCAATTCGCATAAGGAAAATATATTCGTACTTATCCAGCATCATAGGTTCTTGTTAATTTTCATGAAGACAAACGACGAGCCGACCGATGGAGACTTAATCGTCAGAGCTCCCATGGCGCGACTCATACGACCGATGAGGCAATTTTCGCCGCAGCTTCACCATCACTTCTCTAACCGAGCAACGCACCATCAATTCGTCTCTCAGTTGCCTCCTCCGCCGTCGCTGTCTACTGTCCTTCTATTCACTTCTTACTCCACTGCGTCGTCTCTGCCTCGCCGTAGATTCAACCTCCGGAAACGCCATCCTCCGCCGGCGGAAGCTCTCGTTCCGACGGTTATTGTAGAAGAAGCTGGCGGCGATGACGATATCGGTGAGTCCGACGCGAAGAAGAGCCGTAACCTGCGGAAGCGCGAAGCTCGCCGGGCAGTCCGATGGGGTATGGAACTTGCTTCCTTCTCCAACGATCAGATCAAGCGGATCCTGAGGTGACTTATCTGAATTTTTCGGAAGAATTTCATCGCGGCAATGACATGGAATTTCGCCGAAAGTTTGTAGTTTAAGTAATTGAATCTCTTCTCGAACCTGTTATTTTTCTGCGTTTTGTGGAAGAAAGAGCTGCGTCGCTTGAAGAAGATGTTTACGACGCATTGATGCTTGCGAAGGTATTGCTATTGTTGCTTTGTAATCTCTGCTATCTTGGTGTCTCTGATGATTTGATTTTGGGATCTTGAAGACAAGGTGTTTGTGTTTTGGTCGCAGAGACTAGGCCCAGATGTTCGAGAAGGAAAGCGGAGACAGTTCAACTATATCGGTGAGAACTTGGCGTGAATTCATGGTCCGGGTCAGTTTTAGAGTTTGGGGAAAAGGGGCTGTATACACGAGTTGACAGGGATTTAGACAAAAGTGCTGATTATGGAGAATTCATGGATAAGAAAAAACCTGTACCTGATGGGTGTGGGTGGAAGATGGTAAGGAGAGCCACGTGGTGGGGTGTAGTCATCATAACACACAAAAGTAAGGATAGTGAGAGAGAAAGGTTGGATGATGCTGTGTGGGTTGGAGAACGGTTATATTTTGATCAAAGTGGGAAAATTATAAGAGAGTTTGGTATGAAAATTCTGCAGAAAGTGGATTCCCATGAGGTGATGAAATTTGGTGCAAATTCACCGGGAACACAAATGTTGGAGGAGTTAAAACAGAGGTTGCAGTCAGCACAACAGAAGAGGAAGACTGGGGCTGATAAAGAGAGAAGAGATGTGGTATTTGAAGTGAGAGAAGGGGTGGAGTCCGAAGATGAAGCTGGTGGTGCAACCAAAAGAGATCAAGGATTTTAGCTTGAGGACAAGCTAAAGCTGAAGGGGGGAGTATTGATAAGTACTACAGAAGGATTAGGGGCAAAGGTATGCAGCTAGTGTGGTGGTTGTTTGTGTGTGTAGATAGCATATAGGTGTTGACATTTGTTTGGCTGTTTTGTTAGTTGTTTCCTTAGGGTTGGTAGTAGTTAGAGGATTCTGTTAGGGAGAGGATTGTATAAAGAAAGGAGGAGGAGGGGGAAAGGGAAGGGGGATTTTCTGGTGGAGAACTGGGTGGGGAAGAGAGTAGGAGCCTCTCTCTAATCAAAGCTATCCGAAGTGTATGGTTTGGGTGTTCAATAAAGCTGCTGGAGTTTCTCTAAGGAGTGGTTCGAGCATCAGAACCTTAACAAACACCCCCTCATCTACAAAGAAACCTACACCTAGTGTGCTGTTCAAAAGTTTGCTCTATAAGGTCAATAGTCTCTACAAGTTTGTCATATTCCAGAGCATCATTGTTTATTTATTTAGTCGTGACTCTTCTTCTGCCTTTGTTTTGATTTCATTGCCTTGACAGGAATTACGCAAGCTTGTTCGGAATCTGCGTTTGGCTCAAGAGCGACGTAAATCTGTAACCGAGGAGACTGAGAAGAAAATCAGTGCTGCTGTTGTGGCCGCCGAAAAGTCCCTTACCCGTTTCCTCTATTCCCTGGCAAAACAAGTGCAGGGTGGACAGAGTGATTCGTACTTGTAGATAATAAGTTGCAACTTTCATTTGCTATATTTTCTGCATGTCTGTTGCTCCATTGCATAATTCTTCTGTATTTGATTTAGTACAAACAGCAAATTACATCATTTTTCTTAGGAGGTCGTAATGATATCTAGGTACGGTGAGAATATTTATTCTGCATTTCTCATTGAGAGTAGGGTGAGTTTGTTGAAGGGTGTATCGCTAGTATACAATTTGCATTCATCAGTCGTAGTGTCACGCACTCTGCTAGCTTAAGATCTGATAAGTACTATAGAATGATTAGGGGTAAAGGTACGCAGCTAGTGGGGTGGTTGTTTGTTTGTGTAGATAGCATATAGGTGTTGACATTTGTTTGGCTGTTTTGTTAGTTGTTTCGCTAGGGTTGGTAGTAGTTTGAGGATTCTGTTAGGGAGGGGATTGTATAAAGAAAGGAGGAGGAGGGGGAAAGGGTATTAGGGATTTTCTGGTTGAGAATTGGGTGGGGAAGACAAGAGAGTAGGAGCTCTCTCTGATCAAAGCTATCCAAAGTGTACCTGGTTTGGAGTTCAATAGAGCTGCTGGAATTCCTCTAAGGAGCTGTTGAGAATTCTGAACCCTAACAAATTGGTATCAGAGCAAGTCTGAGCCATGACGAAGAACAACACGCAACGTTGGGAGCAATTGGAAGATACGGTCCATGATAGATGCGAGAAAATCGAAGAAACAATGGCAGATCTACAGAAGCAGTGTGCGAAAATGGATGAGCTGCAAAAACAATGTTCGAAAATCGATTCGATGGAGCAAATGTAGGAAAAACTGTGTCGAATGGTCGATGGGATCCAAAATCGTCAGGGATCTGGTCCTGAGACGATTCCGCCACCGATAACAAGTCAGGAAAGATCGCAAGGTGTTCGCGACACAAGTCCGAGAACTAGTGGCAATCCAGAGCCGCAAATTGTAGAGGATCGAGTACAGGAGGTTGAACAAGAGAGTAAGGATCCGATTCCAAAGACAGAAGCGGATAATGAATCGTGTCATCAAGAACGATTCATTGGGAGCAGTAATTCGCATTTCAAACAAATGGAGATGCTAGTATTCGAAGGTATGAATGTTAACGCCTGGATTACAAGAGCAAAAAGATACTTTGATATGGGACGTTGTTCAGAGAGTGAGAAGCTGAGACTTGCGGCCATGAGCATTGACAGACATGTGCTGAGCTGGTACGATTACCAGAATGGGAAGAATCCATTCCGAGATTGGACTGATGTAAGAGCGAGGATGATAAAAAGGTTCGGAGAAAAAAAAATAGGTTCACCGTTCGACAGACTGCTCTCTTTGCGACAAACAGGTACGATTGAGGAATATCTCTGTGATTTTGAGGAATTGTTAGCTCAAGTACCGCACACACCAGATCCTATGATAGATAGCACGTTTAAGAATGGATTGAAACCTGAAATCAAGGAGATCTTACAAGTGTTTCGACCAAAAGGGATGGATGAGATTGTAGATGTGGCATTGAGCATTGAGGGAAGCAAGCTCAGTACTGTTTGCATGGAGAACTGGGGAGAGGAGAGCAAGAATATGAGGTCAGAAAATTTAGGTTCAATGTTTAGGACGATGTCATTGTCAAAGGGGATTCAGAGCAAGCTGCAAAGTCAGCTGTCAAGAAACAACTCTCAAGAGAAAGGGAAACAGATAATGGGAGAGGAAAACAAATGTTGAAAGTGCAGGACAGGAAAGGAAATCGACATACAAGAGGATGTCAGATGCAGAGTTTGAAGAGAAGAGAAGGAAAGGAATGTGCTTCAGATGTGATGAAAAGTTCTTTGTTGGTCACAAATGTAAGCAGAAAGAATTGCAAGTTATCTTGGCAGAAGAAGAGACAAGTCAGGCAGTGGAAGGGAGAGAAGGGGTGGAGTCCGAAGATGAAGCTGGTGGTGCAACCGAAAGAGATCAGGGATTTTAGCTTGAGGACAAGCTAAAGCTGAAGGAGGGAGTATTGATAAGTACTATAGAATGATTAGGGGTAAAGGTACGCAGCTAGTGAGGTGGTTGTTTGTTTGTGTAGATAGCATATAGGTGTTGACATTTGTTTGGCTGTTTTGTTAGTTGTTTCGCTAGGGTTGGTAGTAGTTAGAGGATTCTGTTAGGGAGGGGATTGTATAAAGAAAGGAGGAGGAGGGGGAAAGGGGATTAGGGATTTTCTGGTTGAGAATTGGGTGGGGAAGAGAGTAGGAGCCTCTCTCTAATCAAAGCTATCCAAAGTGTACCTGGTTTGGAGTTCAATAGAGCTGCTGGAATTCCTCTAAGGAGCTGTTGAGAATTCTGAACCCTAACAAGATCTTAGCTAAAGTGTGACTCAAGATATTGCAGACCCGAGTTTATGTTGTCTGGTTCAATAATTCGGTTTGTTTTAGTGTTGGTTTGTATTTGGTTATTGCAGAACTTGTTAGCCCTGTATTTGTCAGTTTTTTTATTTGTAACTGCATTAGTCAGTTTCTTTGATGTAGTTATATGGGTGGTTGTTGTAAGTTTAATGAATGTTAATGCAGAAAGTTTCAGAAAAAAATAGAGTCCGAAACAGAATTGATCATTTATTCATTCACGAGTTTGATTAGTACCCAAGAAAGTGTTCTGGTGTAGAGGAGAATTCGATTTGCAACAGTGGTATCAGAACTGCGTTGTTCTTCAAGGAACTGTGTGGAAGTTGTTTTCGAAATGGATCAAAGTGACGCTCGAAGCTTCAAGCCTTTCTGCGGTTGTGTTTGACGATGAAAACTAACAAGTTTGGGCGGTGAGAATGAAGGTATTTTCGAAGGGTTCAGATGTGTGGGAAGATGTTAAAGTCCCTCCATTAGGAATCAATCTTACGTTGAGCCAAATAAACACACACAAGGAGAAAGTTACAAGGAAAGTAAATGCCATGGCCTACATATTGTTGGTTGTGTCTCCTTCGATCTTCACAAAGATTATGAAACTGGAGAGTGCCAAGGAAATATGAGACTTGTTGAAGGAGTATGAAGGAGATGAACGCATGAGAGGAATAAAGGTCATGAATTTACTTCGAGACTTTGAGAGATAGGAAATGAAAACAAATGAAACAGTGAATGAGTTTATAGACAGATTGGTTGGCATTGCAAACTAGATCCGGATCTTGGGTACAAATGTGGGTGATGAGAAGATAGTGAAGAAGGTTATGGTTTCAGTGCCAGAGAGTTTCGAGGCTACTCTGGCTTCGTTTGAGAACATTAAGGACTTGAAAATTTTGAAGTTGTCTGAGGTTCTTAGTCCTATTCAAGTTTAAGAGCAGAGACATTAAATAAGGAATGAGGAGGCCATCAAAAGAGCATTGAAAGCAGAGGTGAAGGGAAATAGTACATGAAAGGGTAAGTAGAAGCAAAAGCAGAATGTAGAAAATCAGAACAAACAAGAAGGTACATCCGAAAAAGCAAATGCATGCGAGAACTATCCTGAACTCTATTGTGTTATATTGTGATAAAATGGTGTGGTACAAGCCAAAGAATCTAAATTACATCAATGATCCAAAACACATATTTAGACGCTTTCACTTGATAAAGGAAATTATAGATAGATGAGATATATAAATTTGTAAAATATCAACGGAGATAACATTGCTAATCTATTGACGAAATTCCCCCCATCGTCGAAGGATGAGGGTCATGTCATTAGATATTTAGTAGATCATAATTAGATCAAGTGAGGGATTGTTGGTTTTGCATAGAGAATTGATTCATCCCAAGTTGGTGCTCTAAAGAGAAATCTTAATTTTGCATAGACAATTGACTCACCCCCAGTTGGTTTTGTACAGACAATTGAATCGACAGAGTTATTCAACTTGGCCGAGTCAATCTCTAAAGGAAAATCGAGATTTGTACAGTCAGTTGACTTAGCCCGAGTCAATTGCAGCTCGGCCCGAACTGATGCCCAAAGTTGTGATTTTTCAACATCAATTGTCCCAAAAAGAAGAAGAAGCATCGCTCATGAGATGTCAAATTGAAGAGACCAAGAAAAATCTTCATCTTCTTGGAAGTGGAACTGGTAAGTTGGATCATCTACTTGGACAGGGAAGGAGTGCACGAGATCAATCGGGGCTTGGATATGCGGGAAAGGAGCAATATCACCCAACATTTGTGTCTGGAGGAAATCTTGAACGAGAAGTACCTGACTTAGTACGAAGTACTTTTGGCGCTGTCAAAAATACTCCAAGAGTTAAAATGGATCTGCGAACCTCTCAAAAGCAAAAAGAGCATAGAAGCTGCTATTACTGTGGGAAGAGAGGACATATTCGAACAGAAATCTTGAGATGGTTATTCTTGCAAAACAATGATCAAAGGTTTTGTTTTGTTATGAACAAGTTGTTTGGGTCATATATGGAGAGCAAACCAATATCATCGTTTTTTTTTTGTATCTCAAAAGTGTTTTTCAATAATCTCATTTGCTCGGTAGAAACATAACGTTCGAAAAATGAATAGATGTCTAGAAAATATATAAGGATTTGTTATTCTCTATCTATTGTTGTTTTTAGTCTACAGATGATGTAAAAATAAAAAGACAACATCTGAAACCGAATCCGTTTCAGTAAGACATGACAGAGATGATTTGTCCAAAGTCGTATGCACGTTATAGATCACCAGATATAACATTTATGCTCCACATTTATGCTCCGACACTGAGAGACAATGGTTTCTTATGATCACAGCTTTCAGTTGCTTAACAACAACACAATGTCCGAAGGAGAAACATTACACAAGTAACAACATGGAAAGAGCGTGAAGAAACAACAGGGAAATTCAAGAACATGAATATGGGAGAATGACAATGGGCAATGGGACGGCACTCGATTCAAGGTTTGTTGACTTTCCAGATGCCCTTTCCATCACAGGGACATAACGCAACACGCGGGCACTGGTACTTCTCCAACAATTCCATCTTTGGAAAGTACAGTCCCTTGAGGTCTCTCCACTCAACCTGCAGCTTTGGAAGAAATTTCAGACGTAAAACCTCAACCCCACAATGGGTCGGTACCGTTGGCAGCTCCCCTAATCCACTGAGTTCTGTTCCTCCTTTGATGTAGAGCTTCTTGAGCGTAATAAGATTCCGCGGCTGAAGCCACTCGGGAAGTTCTGCATCGGGAAAACACTGCAGGTCCAGTTTATGCAACCGATAACCGGGATTCGCTGGGCCATCTCCATGCCTACCTGCGTGTTGCCGAAATAACGCTTTGACGGCGTTCTTCACAACAGATTTCGCCTGATGATCCATACCCGTTTTCTTCTCCTTCTGATCTTTCGAAATGCCTCCCCACGCCACTTTCAGATTTTCCAGTGCTTTCAGCCCTACAAGAGCCTCTTTCAGTTTGTTCACGTCGAAGTCCGTCTTGTTTATGGTGACACTCAGCTTTTTCAGTCTCTCCAAGTGCTTCAAATCGATCAGTCTACAGGTGGTCTCCTCGTCGGCGTCACTGACCACAAAGCCCTTGAGAACTTCGAGCTTCTCCAGCCACGCCAATCTCTTGGGCATTCGGTCTATCATATAGCATTCGCTTATGTCTAGGTAGATCAGATTCTCGAGCGAATCTATCTTCTCGGGGAGCTTTTCCAGGTTATAGCATGCTCTCAGGTCCAAGATGATCAACTTCCGCAGCTTACACACCGAATCATCAAGCCTCTCGATCCTCGAGATACCTTGTAAACTCAGGAGTCTCAGTTCACTCAGGGAGTTCAGATTTTTCATAAGCTCGGGGCTCTCGACCTCGATGTGGCGTTTGGCTGTTCTCTCCCATCTCCCGAGGTAGAGAACCTTGAGCGTCTTCATCAGTTTGAACCACTTGAACGTGAAATCTGGGAACCTCTCAGACACATTGAACACGGTCTCGATGTCCCCTGGCTGCATTTTCGTGATTTTCGTCTCATCCTTGCTCGATGACCCTTCCACAAGGCATACCTTTTTCTTTTCCGATTTTTTCATGGCCGGCTTCCCCTTTTCATCATAAATATCGAAAAGACCCACCGAAGTCGAGAGACGAACCACTGCAGAATGCACGAGAGGTGGCATCTTATAACTAGCAGGCTCCATCTTCCGCTCATCTTCAACGGGTTCAATAAGACCCATCTTTTTAAAATCTTCGAGGATTTTTGCCACCGATGTTCCAGCGTCTTCGACAGGAAGAAAGCCCTCAGCCATCCACCAATACATCAGCATCGTTTTGTTCATCACTCCGTTCTCTGGGAAAACAGCAAAACTCAACAGGCACAGCATGTGCTGAATATCAAGACTTTTAAAGTTCTTGATCACTGATGCGTAGGTCTCGGTCTGAGTGAGGTCTGCCTTGTTCTTATGGATACCGGGCAAGTAGACATCGACTCTGCCTCCACGGTATTCGTCGTCTTCCTGAGCATCTGATGCACCTTTTTTCTGCTTGTCGGGCAGCAAGGGTACCTGACACATCAAGTTAAAGATGTTCCTGCTGCTGAAGGTCTTCCAGCTTAATCCCATCGCGCTTCAGTTGATTGACATGACTCTATCTTACGAATCAACTCGTCAAGGCTGACCTCCTTTCTCTGAGGAAGAGGTGTACTTTGTGTTCTCCCCAACTGTGTGTTCCCAACGAGGTTGTCGGCTCCACTGCCACCGCTCGGAGGATTACCAACGCTCGCCGATGTTACTAGCGACCAATTTCCGGCTGAAGTTGAATCCGGAGGGTTCGATCTGTTGATTGGATTCTGCAACTCTTGCAGCTTTTTGAGGACGTCAAGGATCTGACTGATTATATGGTTTTCATGGCTACCCGGCTGCGGCTGGGAAGAAGCCATGGAAATCTCTCTCCAGTCAACACAACGATCGATCTACAAACCCAGATTCAATTCAATCAGATACAGGGATGAAACTGTACAGCAATATCTGAATCCCGTCAAGCTCGAAAAGTAAAAAGCGCAGGCGAAAGATTCACACATCCATTTCTCTCACAAATGAGATTTCACAGAGTCACTAAGATGGATAGTGCTTTCAGACTAAAACCCATCTCGCATTTCAATTAACCCAAAAAAATCAGAGAGTAAAGAGAATGCATGCGTTGCAGAAAAAATTAAAAGATGAGGTTCGTTCGGATTTGTTCCATAAGTCAACTGTTCTTCATTACCTCTTCGGACGAGGAGACGCAACTGTCTCAATGGCTCTCTTCCTGGGATCCCTCTCTTCTTCCTTTTATTTTAATAACAAAAATTCCAACTTGTTCACATCCCCCGTCAAATCATAAAAACCATTTTGAATTATTATTTATTAAAATAGTGCACATATATTTATATACAATGACCGATGTTTAAAAAAAATCAAATAAAGGATAAAGGGTTCTTCGAAAGATGAAACTCGTGCTGGATCAGAGGGCATTTTACTTGGATGACGGACTTGGATCGCAGTAATTTCAAGTGTACACCACAAAAAAATATAACTCATTAAATTCTTTTTGAAAAGATCATATTACCCTTAATGAAACCGTATAATTTATCCATTCAAAAAACAGTTGTAATTACGACATCATAATTAATTCTAAATATAATTGCAATTGATTCTAAATGAGTTTGCAAAAAATACATCTTTCAAATTTAAAAAATAACTATTGTTATACGATCATAAATATTTCTTTTTTTAGTCATATATTAGTTATATAACAGTCACCATAAAAGTCGTAAAAAATATGAAACAAAAGGATATTTCGAACCTTTTGAACGAAGAAGTTGTATAAAATTGAAAGAAAAAATTACTTTTTTTAGTGGTGTACCTGAGAAATTGCTGCGATCTAGATGGATCATTTCAGTAAAATGTCCGGATTAGAGAGCATCTTTGACTTTGGGTGAGGGATGGGGAAGAAGCCGAGCTCCTCCGTCTTGTGAAGCAGTAAACTCATCCCTAGACTTTGGATTTGTATGTTTTATGACAATGTCAATGTTTAATTTTTAAATCTATATATATT